AATGTTTTGCTAGAAAGGGATTCAGAAACGGAATTAGTTAAAGATTGTATGATTAAGTGGGCACAAAATTTTGAAGAACCAGTGATGTTGGAAACATGGGAAAAAATTTGGGTTCAGAATGTTAAATTTACACAGTCGCAGAATTTGAGGGAAAATTTTTATAAAATGTTTTATAGATGGCATCTAGATCCTAAAAAGCTGTCATGTATGTACCCTAATGCTCAGCCAAAATGTTGGAGATGTGAATGTTTGGATGCTACGTATTATCATGTTTGGTGGACCTGTAGGAAAGTTAAGGCTTTTTGGATAAAAATATGGTGGGTCATGCAGAATGTTTTGAAGAAAAAAATTCAATTTTCTCCACAATTGTTTTTATTGGGCATAGTTAAGGGTTTTACACGGGATGAAACAAAATTAATATTGTATATGATAACAGCAGCAAGATTGTTGATAGGTAAATATTGGAAGAATGAAGCCTTGCCTACTATCGAGGAATGGACTTCGAAGATGGCTAGCTTTGCAGAGATGGCGAAGATTTCAGCATATTTAAAAGATTGTTCACAAGAGACTTATGAATGGGAATGGAAAAGGTGGATAGAATATGTTCAGAACAAATACCAAATTAGAAAGTATCAAATAGCTTTTATTTGAAAACAATGTATTAGAAATATTTTAATATAAAGAGACAAAGAGGGAAAATTATGTAGGGGGAGGGATGGGTTCAGGTATATATATCAGTGTTATTAGTTATGAGTACATAATAGGGAAGTCTGGGGGGGGGAGGGTTAGGGAGGGTTAGGGAGGACGGGAAGTTTGGGGAGGGAGGTGGGGGGGTGAAAAAAAGGGGTGAAAATGTAATTGTAAAACTTTTGCAATAAAAAAAAAAAAAAATTTAAAATCAATTAAAAGAATTATACAACTTTGGCCCACAATTTAAAACAATCCAATTAAAACCCAATTTACACTTAAAAACTAAAAAGCTAAAAGAGCTAAAAAGAGCTAAAAAAGGGGGGGGGTTTCACGCCAGCCCTGCTTGATGGAAAATTGAGCAACGGATTGGACTAGGAGACCTCCAAAGTCCCTTCCAACTCTATTATTCTCTGTGTTCTATTCCTGCTTTGGTAGGGGGGTTGACTATTAGATCTCTAAGGTCTCTTCCAGCCCTAGGATTCTATGATTCTTTTCTCCGAGGACTTTTAAGCAACGAAAACAGCTGTTTTTATCCAAATCTCCAGATCCCTGTGACATCACCAACAGATCTAAGAGGGCCCAATGGCAATGCACAACCCAGTTCCGCCTGCCCAGCTGCGTCCTCGGTGATATTTTTTCCCCCAATCTCTTCCCGCAGATTATTCTTCCCTGATGTAATCCGGCAAATTCTATTTAAAGACTTTGGGGTTCGGCAGCAAAGCTTTCATAGGAGGTGGGGGTTTGGGTTTTTTTGTTTTTTTTTTAAAAAAATCAGCCTGCTAAAAGTCAGTCCTGCTCAGCCACTGGGGTTGGGGGTCTGCAATTCTTTGCCCTGGGGGGTCCTCGGTGCCCTCTGAGCTTGGTTGTTTTTCTTGCAGATGTTTAGCTACCCAAACACTAGGAAGCATCAACAGTGCTGATGGTGCTAGCACTGATGATGTTGCCTAGTTGGGTCATGAAACATTTGCAAGAAAACATCCAAGCTCAGAGAACATCAAGGATACCACAGTCGTCATCTTCTGCCCCCTTCCTCTTCCTCCTCCCCTCCTCCTTCTATCTCCTCCTCCTCCTCTCCACAAACCCCACTCCCTTCTAGAACTGATGATGTTCCCTAGATGGGTCAGGAAACATCTGCAAGAAAATATTCAAGCTCAGAGAGCACCAAGAACCCCACAGTTGTCCTCCTGCTCCTGCTCCTCTTCTTCTTCCTCCTCTTCCTCCTCCTCCTCCTCCTATCTCCTCCTCCTCTTCCTGCTCCTCCTCTTCCTCCTATCTCCTCCTCTTCCTCTTGTCCTATCTCCTCCCTCTCCTCCTCCTCTCCACAAACCCCACTCCCTTCTAGAACTGATGATGTTACCTAGATGGGTCAGGAAACATCTGCAAGAAAATATTCAAGCTCAGAGAGCACCAAGGATCCCACAGTCGTCCTCCTGCTCCTCCACCTCCTCTTCTTCTTCTTCCTCTTCCTCTTCCTCCTATCTCCTCCTCTCCTCCTCCTCTTCCTGCTCCTCCTCTTCCTCCTCTTCCTCCTATCTCCTCCTCTCTTCCTCTTGTCCTATCTCCTCCCTCTCCTCCTCCTCTCCACAAACCTCACTCCCTTCTAGAACTGATGATGTTTCCTAGATGGATCATGAAATATCTGCAAGAAAACAACCAACCTCAGAGAGCACCAAGGATCCCACAGTTGTCCTCCTCCCCTTCCTCCTCCTGCCTCTCCTCCTCCTCCTCCTCTCCACAAACCCCACTCCCCTTCTAGAACTGATGATGTTCCCTAGCTGGGTCATGAAACTTCTGCAAGAATACATCCAAGCTCAGAGAGCATCAAGGAGCCTTCTAGTCTTCCTACACTATCGCTGGATCTCACTTTGGCCTTCAGGCAAATAGAAGACGGAGAATTTAGCCATTCTTGAAAACCCGTTCTGCTTTTAAAGTAGATCGGGAAGAAGTAAATAAAAAAATTAAATACAGATTATCCCATTTGGCCGGAACTTCTTGTAACTTTCATAAGCAGAGAACCCAACATTTGACAAGATGAAAGTTGAAGTATTTCTACAGAGATTTATATAGAAAGTTAAGATCATTAATAATGAGAGTTATTTCGGTATCTCTGATAAAGTGGCTTCTTTCAAGTTAATTTTAAGCTCTCCTTCCTGAACCTGTCTGCGAATGCCCTCTTTCCCTTTATTTTATTAAAATCCCAGCTATCTGAATAATAATTTGCCTCCCTTGCCTTTAATGAGGCTCTTCGTGGGTGCCAGCTTAAAAGAGATTTCTTTCTGGCGGTATAATTAATATTAACTGAAAATCTTTTTTAAAGTGGAGGTGCCCGTCTCAAATTCTCTTCAGAGAAAATGGCATCAGATAAAATTCAGCACGGGGTGGAGTTCCTTAGACTTTATGAGATGAGATGAATCAATTAATAAAATAACTATAAGGGATGATCATTAGCTTGGGCTCATCTTTGACAGATGGAAATGTATGTAGAGATTGCAACAGCCTTTTCGGAGAACTTTACCAAACAAGGGGTCCTTGGTACTCTCTGAGCTTAGTTGGTTTCTTGCAGATGTTTCATAACCCAACTAGTTAACATCATCAGTGTGTTGTGACTCCGTCCTCCGAGCCTATCTTATCGGAGGAAGAAGACTCCGAACATGAAGGAGAGGAGACGTCCAGGCCTCCCTCTCCAGGACCCTCCTCTCTGGCAATGCCTCAGGTGTCTCCCGAAGGAGAAGAGATTGGCCAGGAGCCAGGTGTTTCGGATAGTGACAAAGAAACATTGTGGTTGGACCCATGCCAGCGTCGGAGAGACAAGCGTGAGCAGCAGAAAAGGAGGCGTGCCAGAGATTAAGCTGAGTCACTGGACCACACCCCACAGGCTATAAAAGGGAGTGTGGTGGCCATTCGGACTCTGTGACGGACAAAGTTAATCTCTGGCGAGGCACTTGCACCTTCGGACACAACATCTATTTGCCGTGCATTTAATTACAAACTGGACTATTCAAACTGTGTGTATTTTTGTCTGTGTTATCGGAGTAAAAGCTCTTGGCAGGCAGCCACGGAGTTGCTGCCAAGTTCCTTATCACTGACATTGAGTGTTTGAAGAGTTTATTTAACCCTCGGCTGGCTGGTTGGGTGTGTGCATGGTACGGGGACAGAACACAGTGCTAGAAGGGAGAGGGATGTGCAGAGAGGAGGGAGGAGGAGGAGGAGGAGGAGGAGGAGGAGGAGGAGGAGGAGGAGGAAGAGGAAACTCTGGGATCCTCTGAGCTTGGTTGGTTTCTTGCAGACGTTTCATTACCCAATTAGGTAACATCATCAGTGCTAGTCACTAGTCATATTAGTACTGATGATATTACCCAGTTTGGGTAATGAAACATCTGTGAAAAATCCACCAAGCTCAGAGAGCACCAAGGACCCTGCATTTCAAACCTGAGCTACAAATATTCTCCTTTATTGGAGAATATTTACAAAAATAAGTGGCACCTGTACAAAAATAATCAATAAGCTTTACAAAATAATATTTCTGGTCCAATTCCTCCACCTATTTGTTCTCCTGGCAAAAGTCCATTTCTTAGGGTGGTTTCAAGCTGGACTTGGGACCTGTATTTTCGTCTAGTCCAAGCGCTGTTCTTAGAGGTCCATCGTTAAACATTCAACTGCTGGTGGCTCAGCAGACTGATAGCATTGTGATTAACACCAGCTGCCTGCAATTACTGCAGGTTTGAATCTCGCCAGGCTCAAAGATTGACTCAGCCTTCCATCCTTTCTAAAGTAGGTGAAATGAGGACCCAGTTTGTGGGGGCAATAAGCTGACTTTGTATAAAATACAAAAGTATGAAGGTTATTGCTTAACGCATTGTAAGCCGCCCTGAGTCTCCGGAGAAGGTGGCATATAAATCAAATTTAAAAAAAAAAAAAAAAAAAAAAAAACCCAACTCAAATAACATTTCTATTGGTCCCAGTTATTGGATCAGTTTATCAATCAGTCTCATAGTTTCCTAATGGGGAATTTTCCACAAAGCTTCATTGTTGCTTCCTAAGCATCCTTTTTAGATTCTTTTGAAGCTAATTAATGTTTGCCATATGTATATTATTTCCTCTTTTTTTTTTGCATTCTTCACTGGAAGAAGATTCACTTGGGGAATGGTACCAGTCTGTGGAGCTATATTTAGCTAAAGAAATAATAAAGATGGAGCTTGTGCTCTTTGGTACGCCATTGCTTTAATTTCCTAAAAATGCCTAGATGCAAAAATTGAACGTCATTCTGTTTTACACATGTAAAAAAATGGGGAAAGAATTAGCATTTTTACTTCTCTGGACGAAAAGGATGTCTATGTGGTCTCTGAAGGTCCCAACGTTGACATTCTTTGCCTGTTTCGGTATGATCCATTGGACCTCTGTAGCCTTCTCCATTGCATGTCATGCACTCAACTGAAAAGCAGAAAATCAACAATCTCACTAAGATGATTGGGAAGGGAAGGCAATGGAGGGAAGGGATGGAGAAGGGAAGAGGAAGAAGAAGAGGAAGGGAGGAAGGAGAAAGAGAGAGAAGGAAGGGGGAAGGGAAGGTGGAGGGAGGGAGGGAAGGGAAGGTGGAGGAAGGGAGGGAGGGAAGACGGGAAGGAGACATAAGGAAGAAAAGACAAGGAAGGTGGAGGGAGGAAGGAAGGAAGGGGAAGGGGACACAAGGAAGAAAAGACAAGGAAAGAGAGAGGGAAGGAATGAAGGGAACGAAAGAGAGAGGGAAGGAAAGAGAGGGATGGAAGGAAGGGAAGGAAGGTGGAGGAAGGAAGGGGAAGAAGAGACAAGGGAGGAACGGAAGGAAGGAGAGAGAGAGGGAAGGAAGGGAAGGGAAGGTGGAGAGAGGGAAGGGAAGGTGGAGGAAGGAAGGAAGGAAGGAAGGAAAGGGGAAGGAGACACAAGGAAGAAAAGACAAGGAAGGAGAGAGGGAAGGAAGGAAGGGAAGGAAAGAGAGGGAAGGAAAGAGAGAGGGAAGGAAGGGAAGGGAAGGTGGAGGGAGGAGGAAGGAAGGAAGGAAGGAAGGAAGGAAGGAAGGAAGGAAGGGGAAGAAGAGACAAGGAAGGAACAGAAGGAAGGAGAGAGAGAGGGAAGGAGGAAGGAGGGAAGGGGAAGAGGAGGAGGGAGGGAGGAGGAAGGAAGGAAGGAAGGAAGGAAGGAAGGAAGGAAGGAAGGAAGGAAGGAAGGAAGGAAGGGGAAGGAGACACAGGAAGAAAAGACGAGGAAGGAGAGAGGGACGGAAGGGAAGGTAGTTTTATATATATTTTAGAAAAGAACTCCCAATTTTGAATATCAGTCCCACTGCTCCAAAATACCGGTGCTTTATTATCAACCTATTTTCTGTGAGTTCTCACTCCCCTTTTGCTTCCAGAAGAGATGGGAGAAGCAAAAGAAACTGAACACCGGGTCTGTTCCTTATTAGTGTTATAAACCTACTATTCAATTCTGCAATGTAATTTTTTAAAACACACACACACACACACACACACACACGAAATGATTACGGGGGTTGTAGTGATGCAGGAAAGAAAACCTCAAAGCGCAATGGGAGGAGTAACCGCTGACCTAATGTTCGTGACACTCAGCATGTTTCCCCCCCTCCGATGCCAACCGTCATCCCCGATCTGAAGTTAGGCGATCCCAACCGCCCGAGCCTTACCTTCCGAGCAGAGAGGGATCTTGCAGGCTTCGTGGCGTGTTTTGGGATCGCTGGTAAAACACCAAGGGCCCCCTTCCTCTCCTCGTGGATTCCGGCAGTAGTTTCTCTGAAGATCTTTACCTCGATAGCTCGAAGGTAAAAAGCTAGTTTTAAAATGATAATCATTACGGTATAAGGGCATGCACATTTGGCTCTCAAGCTCCCCAACTTCACGAATTAAACCGTCTGACTGAGGGCTTCCTTGACCCATATAGTTTAATTAGTTTATAACTTTTACTGTCCTATTTTTTATTGTGAGCGCACTGGCCCACGTTAAAAATGAAAATCCATTGCCTGCTCTCAAGAGAAAGTATATATCTACCCAAACACATACATAATTATGGGATATTTTAAAATTTAGCCAAATTGTTTAATCCGTTTTAATCTATTTTAAATTTTGTATCTCTGTGTTTTATTTCTTGGCTGTTCACCGCCCTGAGTCCTTCGGGAGAAGGGCGGTATAGAAATTTAATAAAATAAATAAAATAAAATAAATAACACACATATACCCATGCTTTATACATGCATAAATATATACCTTCACCCATATCTATCTCTATCTCATCATCTTCTTTTAACGATCCCATAATCCCTTGCGGGGTAAAGCCTGGGCAACTGAATGGAGCTGAGCGTTTCCTGGCCAGATGCCCTTCCTGTCGCCAATGCGGAGTTTTGTTTCAGCAGATATATTCTCATTGTGCCCAGAGAGAGAAATATCTGCCTCTACCTAGGATCGAACTCACAGCCTCCTGATTGTGAGGTGAGAACTCCATCTCTAAGCCACCGCACCACTCTGTTGTTCTAACTTCAATGAATGGTTTAAGTCAAGGACTTCCTGTACCTTCCTGTTCTCATACCAGGGGTGGGTTCTAATTTTTTTTACTACCGGTTCTGTGGGGGTGGCTTATTTTGTGGGCGTGGCTTGATGGTCATGTGACAATTCTTTAGGATTTAGCAGAGGTACTGGTCTACCAGGCTTTTAACTGCTTGCAGAGCTGTACCGATCTACCCATTTATTTTTTGCAGGCACTGGTCTACTCGCATTATTTTTGCAGGCACTGGTCTACTCATATATTTTTGCAGGCACTGATCTACTCATGTATTTTTGCAGGCACTGGTCTACTCATTTTTACAGGCACTGATCTACTCATGTATTTTTGCAGGCACTGGTCTACTCATTTTTACAGGCACTGATCTACTCATGTATTTTTGCAGGCACTGGTCTACTCATATATTTTTACAGGCACTAATCTACTCATGTATTTTTGCAGGCACTGGTCTACTCATATATTTTTGCAGGCACTGATCTACTCATGTATTTTTGCAGGCACTGGTCTACTCATTTTTACAGGCACTGATCTACTCATGTATTTTTGCAGGCACTGGTCTACTCATATATTTTTACAGGCACTGATCTACTCATGTATTTTTGCAGGCACTGGTCTACTCATATATTTTTGCAGGCACTGATCTACTCATGTATTTTTGCAGGCACTGGTCTACTCATATATTTTTGCAGGCATTGATCTACTCATGTATTTTTGCAGGCACTGGTCTACCCATTTATTTTTACAGGCACTGATCTACTCATTTGTTTTTGGAGGCACCAGTCTACCACCAAACTGCCTTTTACCACTGATCAGCTGTAGGGCGGCCCTTTGAAGTTCCTCGGCAAGAGTTTAAACAGTTTTTTTTTTCCTTATAGCTGATCAGCTGGGACTCAGGAGGCAGCAATAGATTGGGGGTGAGGCCAAATAAAAGGTAAGAATAATGCAGGGGGGTGGGGCGGAACCCATTCGGTGACGTCATATCGTCACCGCCTACCGGCTCAGCGGAACCGGGTGGAACTGGGAGGAATCCACCGTCTCATACCATGAAACATGTTTTGGTCAGCTCCTCAAAACTCCTCTATGACACTTCAACACACCCACAGAGGAATGGAAAAAGGAAGAAGATGGCAGCCATCAAGGGATGACTCTCTTGACTTTTTTACAGACATCCTCCCTGCAGAGGCCTAGGCTCATATGCCATGGATTTGGCTATTCGGAGAACCACCGTTGTTGGAAAAGGCAAAAGGGCTGATCCCACCAACCTTACCTGTGTTCGTGAGGGATGGTCGAATTCCAGGCTTGGCATTCGATCCCGCTTCTTGTGACCGATACGTTTCCCTTGTACGTCGCTCCTTTCCCAATGATGCAATTTCGAACGTAGTCTGTGAGAATCAACGAAACGAAGGCCAAAAGGAAGTGAACGTTTTCTGAAGAGCAGGCCTGCAAACGTAGCAGGTGATCGAGGCCTTGGAAGGTCTGTTTCAATCAATTTCTGATGAAATGTTTGCAAGAAAAGAACCAAGAGAACACCAAGGACGCCACAGTCGTCGTCCTCTCTCCTCTTTCTTTCTTCCTCCTTCCTCTTCTCTCTCCTCCTCCTCCCCCCCCTCTTCTCCTCTCTCCTCTTTCTTCCTCCTTTTCCTCCCTCCCTCTCTCTTCTCTCTCCTTCTCCTCCCCTCCTCTTCCTCTCCTTTCTTCCTTCTTTTCTTCCCTCCCTCTTCTCTCTTCTCTCCTCTCTCCTTCTCCTCCCCTCTTCTTCCTCTCTCCTCTTCTTTCTCTTACTCTTCCTCCTCTTCCTCCCTCCATCTTCTCTCCTCCTCCTCCTCGTCTTCCTCCTCTCTCCTCTTTCTTTCTCTTTCTCTTCCTCTTCCTCCTCTTCCTCCCTCTGTCTTCTCTCCTCCCCCTCCTCCTCCCGTTCCTCCTCTCCCCCTCTCCTCTTCTTCTCTTTCTCTCCTCCTCTCCCCTCTCTTCTTTCTTCTCCTCCTCCTCTCTCCTCCTCCTCTCCTCCCTCCCTCTTCTCTCCTCTCTCCTCCGCTCCTCCTCTTCCTCCTCTCTCCTATTTCCTTCCCTCTCTCCTCTTTCTTCCTCCTCCTCTCTCTCTCCTCCCCCTCCTCTTGCTCCTCTCTCCTCTTTCTTCCTCCTTTTCCTCCTTCCCTCTTTTCTTCTCTCTCCTTCTCCTCCCCTCCTCTTCCTTTCCTTTCTTCCTCCTTTTCTTCCCTTCCTCTTCTCTCCTCTCTCCTTCTCCTCCCTCTTCTTCCTCTCTCCTCTTTCTTTCTCTTACTCTTCCTCCTCTTCCTCCCTCCGTCTTCTCTCCTCCTCCTCCTCGTCTTCCTCCTCTCTCCTCTTTCTTTCTCTTCCTCTTCCTCCTCTTCCTCCCTCCGTCTTCTCTCCTCCCCCTCCTCTTTCCCTCCTCTCTCCTCTTTCTTTCTCTTCTCTTCCTCCTCTTCCTCCCTCCATTTCTCTCCTCCTGTTCCTCCTCTCCCCTCTCTCCTCTTTCTTCCTCCTCCTCTCTCCTCCTCTCCTCCCTCCCTCTTCTCTCTCTCCTCTCTCCTCCGTTCCTCCTCTTCCTCCTCTCTCCTATTTCCTTCTCCTCTCTCCTCCTCCTCTTCCTCTTCTCCCACTGAAGATGTTACCAAGGTGGAGAAGGAAACATCTGCAAGAAAACTACCAAGAGTAGGTCTAAAGCACCCTGTTATTAACACAGCGGCCTGCAATTACTGCAGGTTCGAATCTCGCCAGGCTCAAGGTTGACTCAGCCTTCCATCCTTTCTAAGGTAGGTAAAATGAGGACCCAGTTGTGGGAGCAATAAGCTGACTTTGTATAAAATATACAAAAGTATGAAGGCTATTGCTTAGCACATTGTAAGCCACCCTGAGTCTCCGGAGAAGGGCAGCATATAAATCAAATTAAAAAAAAAAAAAAAAACCAAGCTTAGAGAAGCACCAAGGACCCCACACAGTTCAACCCTGAGCAACCAATATTCTCTTCTAATGGTGGAATGAAATAAGCATCAGTGAGAACAAGGAATAGCCTCATCCCTCTTCCACTTTATCCATAACCCAAAGTCCCACCTGCTTTGCATAATCACATGAAACTCTTCTCCACAACAACAACAAAAAAAATGGTCTTAGCTCTGTAGCCTGGCTCATCCAAGTTAGCCACTTACGTACCTTTCTTTTCATAGAGAAGGAACGCAGTGTCATGTTTCTTCCTGGCTCCATTTTCTAGGCTAGTAAAAGATAACCAATGGCAACGTTTGGCTGTTTTGTCAAATGCGAAAGCCCTGGATAGAAAATAAAACAAATTGCAGAGTTAACCTCTACGAGGATATATGGCTTTCATTATTACTATAACTAGAAGGCCGAAAATCTCAGTCTAGATAAAAGTAATTTAACTTCACGTAAATTTGAATAATTCTTCTTCTTCTTCTTCTTCTTCTTCTTCTTCTTCTTCTTCTTCTTCTTCTTCTTCTTCTTCTTCTTCTTCCTCTTCCTCTTCCTCTTCCTCCTCTTCCTCCTCTTCCTCCTCTTCCGCTCTTCTCTCCCTTCTCCTTCTCTGCTTTCCCCTTCTTCCTCCTCTCTTCTCTTCTCTCCTTCTCCTTTCTCCATTCTCCCCTTCTCCCGTTTCTCTCTTCTCAGAGTCCCTTGGGAGTTGGGCGGCATAGAAATGTGATAAATTAAATTTAATTTATTCCACTTTTCTTCTTCTCCTCCTCCTCCTTCTTCCTGTTCTTCCGAAATTATGTAATAATTTTAATTATTTTTTAACTGATGTTTGTCTTTGTGTTTTTAATAGGCTGTACACCGCCCTGAGTCCTTCGGGAGAAGGGCGGTATAGAAATAAAATTATGTATTTATTTATTTTATTTATTTATTCCTCTTCCTTTTCTCTTCAACTTCTCTTCTTTTCTCCTCTTCTCTCCTTCTCCTCCTCCTCCTTTCACCCTTTTCCTCCTTCTCTCTCTTCCTCCTCTTCCTCTTGAGTCAAGAAGATTAGCATTTTCATTGAGAGTCAACTTCGGTGCAGACAAATGTAGGATCTTACCAGACCAATAAGATCTTGCTATGTTCAAAATATCTGGAAAGGTTACGGTAGGCCAAGAAGTTTCAGATCCATCATCGCTTTGCTCAGCTGATGATAGCGGCCTAAAGCCTTCTTTCTTTTGAATAAAAGATGTTGCACCTAATAGACTGAGAAAACACAACTTGGAGAATGTAAACAAGCATTTTCTTTGGGCTTCACTCCAGCTGGACCCAGTAGGAAAAACTGTGCTGATGAGAATATAATTTATGAGCAGGGGAGGCCGTAGTGATTTATCATCGGGAGTTTTGACTCTGATTTCAAAAAATGATTACATGGAAAGGAAATGGGTTTTTTTTTTTAAACAAAAAATTAAATTCTGCACAAGAGTAAGCTGTGTGGGAGTAGAAAATGTTACAATAACTGGTAAGAGTCTTATTATCCTTCACTTCTTCTGAGTCTCAACCAATTAAGTATCAATTACATCACAAACAACTTCTAGATGGAGCCCAGAATCTGTCACACTCAAGAAAGTTGGAGAATCTCAAGCTTTTCAGACACCCCCTCATGAAGTCAATACTATAAGCAGAGAATATTTGTTACTTCCACTGGAATATATATATATTTTTAGGACAAAGCTATAGGCTTTGTTTTCATTTTTAACCGTGAAATGCTTGAAAATCCAACCTTTCCAATATTCCATGCAAGGGAACAAATGTTGCTCTAAGACAGAGGTCTTCAAACTTCAAGCTTTAAGACTTGTGGACTTCAACTTCCAGAATTCTGGCTGGAAAATTCTGGGAGTTGAAGTCCACAAGTCTTAAAGCTGTCAAGTTTGAAGACCCCTGCTCTAAGATCTTGAAATCCCAAGAGTTGTCCCACTCCGCGGGGGAAAAAAAGATAGCTTTGAGGGTGGAAGTTCATTCTCTGACCTTGTGGGTTGGTTTCCAAACATTTCGTTACCAGGCTAGGTAATATCTTCAGGGGAGTTTAGGGGAGGTCAGTGTCGGTGTTCTTCTGCTTATAAGGACTTCGTGTGGCCAGTAGGTCTTGTGATGGGGGGGTCACATCAAGTGAGAATTTAGTGATGGGTCTCATGTGGGTCACGTCAAGTGACGGTTGTGTGATGTGTCTTGCGAGGGGTTAGATGAAGGTCACATTAAGTGAGAATTTAGTGATGGGTCTCATGTGGGTCACGTCAAGTGACGGTTGTGTGATGTGTCTTGCGAGGGGTTAGATGAAGGTCACATTAAGTGAGAATTTAGTGATGGGTCTCGTGTGGGTCACGTCAAGTGACGGTTGTGTGATGGGTCTTGCGAGGGGTCAGGTGTGGGTCACATCAAGTAAGGGTCTTGCGATGGGTTAGATGAAGGTCACATCAAGTGCAAACCTAGTTAAAACCAGGAAGTAATGACACCCAGGCGACGATCGCTACCGGATCGCCGAACCACAGGGAAAAATCGCTACCGGATTGGGCGATCCAGTCCGATCCGGGAACATTTCACCCCTGCTTCCTACCATCCTTAACCAGAAGGGACCTCAAAAGAAAATCCAGGTCATATAAACCTCCAGTATTGATTCCCTCCAGCTGCTTCTACCAAAATGCTCTCCTAAAAAGCAGAACCATTAGAGGCCAAAAGAAATGCAATATTCCTTACCTGCAGATGAATAAAAGTCCTTTACTTCGGCTGCATCTCTTGGCACACTGTTCTGTCGTATTTAGCAGCTTCGTTTTCACTTTCAGTGCCTTGTCTATCCTTATTAATGAGGTATCAGTGGTTTTCCGGTAGTCATGGAGTGGGTTTCTTTTCCCTTTGTTTTCTGCAGGAGGAAGCGACAAACACATTCGTCTGTTGCGTCATTCCAAGAAAGTCCACCTGATCAGGACAACTGTATACAGGGAGTCCTCGAGTTACGACCACCACCGAGCCCAAAATTCATGCTGCCAAGTGATACATTTGTTAAGGGAGTTTCGCCCCACTTTACGATTTTCCTTGCCACTGTGATTAAGCGAATCATTGCATTTGTTAAGTGGGTCACTTGCTTGTTAAGTGTTCTGTCCCCAACCACACGCACACACACCAACAGACGTTCAAGAGTTAAAGACCAAACCAGCCGGCAAAATCCTTTTCCTTAAGATAACGGAACTTGGCAACAACCTAGTGGCTGCCTGCCAAGAGTTTATTATTTACAAAGAGGAGAGATAACTTCTCCCCACTCCTGGTACATCAAAAGAAACAGCTCAATAATTACAGAGTCAATCAAGTCCAGAGATAGTCCAGCAAAATCTTATAGCAAAAGTCCGGCAATGCAGAATAGCGTGGAAGCTTTCAGCTTTGTTCGTCACAAGGTTTGACTGGCCACCACACTCCCTTTTATACCCTGTGGGGTGTGGTCCAGTGACTCAGCCTAATCTCAGGCACGCCTTTTCTTCTGTTGCACACGCTTATTATCTCTGCGACGCTGGCGTGGATCCAGCCAAGACTCATTACCCTCATCACTGTCCATCTGTGGCTGCGTGGATGTGCTTGGCCCCGGACCTATCTCTTGCCCTTCGGCGGACACTGAAGGCATTGCCAGAGAGGAGGGTCCTGGAGAGGGAGGCCTTGCCAACTCCTCTCCTTCACTCTCGGAGTCCTCTCCCGCCGATGACACAGGCTCAGGTAACGGAGCCACAACATTAAGTGAATCCGGCTTCCTGGATTCAGGAGGTCAGGAGGTCTCAAAAGGGGATTGCATGACCCCCCTCGGGACACTGCGACTGTCATAAGTATGAACCATTTGCCAAGCATTTGAATTTGGATCATGTGACCATGAGGATGCTGGAAAGGTCGTAAGTGTGAAAACTGATCCTAAGTCACTTTTTTCAGTGCCGTCGTAACTTCGAACAGTCACTAAATGAACTGCTATAAGTCGAGGACTACCTGTATATATTACAATGGTGTTTCTGATCTCCATTGTGTTCATACGTTGCAACATTAATAACATAATAATAACACAAGAAGTGTTTTGCTCTCACTAGCACCTGGGAACAGGTAATTTGTATTTTAGGCTGCCATTTGTAGGTTTTATGGGGAGGGGGGGAAATCTTATGAAGCACAGGAGAAATCAGGAAATTCAGGCAATTCAATAGAGTATGATGATTTATTGCAAGGTTAAGCTCTCTACAAGAATCTGGCCAACTAACAGTCAAGGGAAATGAGCGGGAGATAAGAAAGTCATTCAAGGTAGGCCAGATTTTGATCTCTTGCCTCCAGAAGTTGTGAATGCTCCAACACTGGAAGTTTTGAAGAAGAGATTGGCAACCATTTGTCTGAAATGGTAGAGGGCTTCCTGCCTAAACAGGGGGTTGGACTAGAAGACCTCCAAGGTCCCTTCAAACTCATTCTATTCTATTCTATTCTATTCTATTCTATTCTATTCTATTCTATTCTATTCTATTCTATTCTATTCTATTCTATTCTATTCTATATTCTATATTCTATATTTTATATTCTATGTTCTAATTCTATATTCTATATTCTATTCTAATTCTATATTCCATTCTACATTCTATTAATCTCTTGAAGACATGCAGGACTCGTGACTGATGATCCATTTGACCCCTCCCTCCAGCTCAGCCTGGTCATCTTCTACAATGAAAAGCCCAAGAGTTTCCCCTTGAATCATTGTATTTAAATTGCAAAAACAAAAACAAATTAAGTCACTCGTTAAAGGCTGGAACACTGTGTAGGAGGCATGAGAGACACAAAGGAAGTGGATGTACCGGGCGAAGGAAAAGTAGAGACAATTGGTTCAGTTTTTGAATTACTGCCCTTTATAATAGTAAAGTTTGTTTAGCACATAATTCAAAGCTTCTGTAGTCTCTAACCTGTTCCAGGTGGGTGTATGTATAGGAAGACCCCTACAGTCTCTTGCTTCCAAATGTTAAATTAGGATAAAGATGAATCTGACATCTTAATGGAAAAGATTTTTAGTTGGGACCATGTATGAATGTTTAACTTCCTTCCTTCCATGATACCCATCAGAAATCTGAGAGAAACCTTGACTGTTCCCTAAAAAAACCACAGAATTTTAACTCAACATCTATGGAGATTCTCACTCATCCAGGTCATGGTGGCTCCCAAAGGAGCCTTAGTAAGACCACACCTAGAGTACTGCATCCAGTTTTGGTCACCACACTATAAAAAAGATGTGGAGACTCTAGAAAGAGTGCAGAGAAGAGCAACCAAGATGATGAGGGGATGGTTGGGGGCTGAAACATGCGATGAACGGTTGCAGGAACTGGGCCTGGCTGGTCTAGTGAAGAGAAGGACCAGGGGAGACACGATAGCAGTCTTCCAATATCTGATGGGCTTCTATAGAGAGGAGGGGGTCAAGCTATTTTCCAAAGCACCTGAAGGCCAGACAAGGAACAATGGATGGAAATTGATCAAGGAGAGATTCAACCTGGAAACAAGGAGAAATTTTCTGATAGTGAGAACAATCAACCCATGGAACAGAAGTTGCCTTCGGAAGTCATGGGAGCTTCATCCTTGGAGGCTTTCAAGAAGAGACTGGACTGCCATCTGTCAGAAATGGTGTAGGGTCTCCTGCTTGGGCGGAGGGTTGGACTAGATGACCTTCAAGGTCCCTTCCCACTCTGTTTATCTGTATCTAAGCACCTCATTATCCTCTTAACATAGCATCTCAGATAAAAAAGTAGAAAACCGGGAACTTTCTTGTTGTTTCTTGTTTTTGGAAAATATATGTTTAAGTTAGCATGAAATCCTTCAACAGAGGATCTACGTCCACAAATATTTGTTAGACAATTTGGAGATCACTGCGTTGTTGTTGTTTTTTTTCCTTAAAAGGGCTACAGAGAAACAATCCTACAAAGTATTGAAGATATTGAGTTGAGGTTTGGCACCACTGATGTCCTCTAAAGGATTCTTACGACTTTCATCTACCTCTGCCAACAAAAAAAACAATGAATGAACTACAGTTTTGATGTTCTCTCTTTATAGCCTTAGGACCAATTTTTTTCCCCTCCAACTGAATCCCAAGGCAGATCAGATCAAATCAGATCCGATTACCTTTGGATCTCAAACAGCCAAAACTCAAAATCAAAGCGTGTTCTTCTTTCAATCTGAGAAGCCCAGCTGAAATCAAATTAGTGCTGACTCATGTTTTCTTAGCATCTGATGGGTGGGAATTTCTTTTTAAACAAGACCACAGTCGAAGAAAAAGGGCAATTCTTTTCCCCATATGCTGCTGTTCCCAACTTCCCAACTCCCCCCTGAAAAAACCTTCTCTAAATTCAAATTATTTATTTGAAAAATCCAGGAAGTGGGGGGGGGGAAGAACCTTCCAGATATAAGAATTATTTGACTTTCCCTCTGAAATGGACAACTGTTATTTCTAGAGTCAAAATAATTTTGGGCAAAGATATAAGGAAAATGGATCTGGGCACATGAGAGTATTTTGTATGATTTTGGAAGAAGCACTGATTTTAAAACCATACTTGCATAGTCTGCCGTCTCCTCGGGAGATTAACTTCAACTTGTCCTTCGCTAAAATAAAGGCATAAGCCCGTGATAAAGGCATAAGCTGTGGGGAACCTATGGAGCCATGCCACCTGGCACGTGCGGCATCGCCCATTCCTCTTACGGGTTTCTGGCCTGCGTGCACACACGATGATCACGTGTGCAGTGCTGGAAACCGGAAGAGCTGGTCTTCCATTTTCCGCCGTGAGCATGCACGCCGGCCAGCTGATTGGTGGAAGACTTGCTGGCGCATGCATGCACTAGAAACCAGAAGTACCTTATCTGGCGTGCGCAAGCCCCCTGGGCAGCTCTTATTCCTGGTCGCGGCCCTGACGAGCGCGTGCATAAGCCAGTGGTGGGATTCAATTTTTTTTACTACCGGTTCTGTGGGCGTGGCTTGGTGGGTGTGGCATGGCTTGGTGGGTGTGGTTGGTGGGCATGGCAGGGGAAAGATACTGTAAAATCTCCATTCCCACCCCACTCCAGGGGAAGGATACTGCAAAATCCCCATTTCCTCCCGATCAGCTGGGACTCGGGAGGCAGAGAATAGACGGGGGCAGGGCCAGTCGGAGGTAGTATTTACCGGTTCTCCGAACTACTCAAAATTTCCGCTACCGGTTCTCCAGAACTGGTCAGAACCTGCTGAAACCCACCTCTGGCATAAGCCCTCAGGAGGGTTTGTCCTTACGACAATAAACGCAACCAAGAACGACCGGCAATTTCCAAATGGGAAAAATATCGACCAAAGGGAGCCGTTCCTTAATGGTCTCCCTTGGTTTTCAACGAGGATCTTGGCGAGATCAAATTGATTGCATTTTTGCAAAGAAGCTACATAAGATGTTAAATCTCGACGCAACTTCAAAAGCGCCCAAAATATGTCATTTTGCTTCTCGTAAAACACACCCTCTTTTCTCTCTCTCTCTCTTTTGTTTTGCAATCGTTCCTTACTTCCTCTAAAGAAGCTGTACCAGTAAGAAGCCAAGTGTCAGAAGTAATCAGATTTCAACACAAGTTTCCTAGAAGGTTTTTTTTTTCAAAAACAACAACAACAACGAAGGAACAAAGCCCTGAATTGCTTGTATTATTGCTCTATTATTATGTCTGACTTGAACCAAGGCAGTATTATATCCTCAGAAGCCGGAAAGCTAACACTGAATCACAACTCAGCACCATGACGTACCTTGCGTGTTACGTCAGACATGGTAGTCCTGGACATACGACCACAACTGAGCCCGACATTTCTCTCGTTAAGTGAGACATTTATTACATGAGTTTTACGTGAGCAGTTACAGTATA